GCCTAAGTACTTCTCCCTTCGGATCCCCAGTGTTGTCTGTAACGAAGAAGGGAGGAAGTTTGAGGATGCGCTTTGACTATAGAGGCCTCAAAACGATCACAGTGAAGAACGCAGAGCCTCTAAGTGGCTAGTATTAGGGACTGGCCACGTCCTCAGACTGTGATTGAGGATAGATCTTTCTTAGGGATGAGCGACTACTATAGGAATTTCGTAAAGAACTATTCTACAGTCGTCTCTCCTTGGACAGATCTTACTCGCCTTGACACCTCATGGGACTGGAGTGATGAGTGTGAGGCTGCCTTCAAACGATTGAAGCACGCACTCATGAATCACGAGTTTCTCATGGATTCCCTATCCTCARRGACCATTTATAGTAACCACTGACGCTAACYAGTATGGRATTGGCACRGTACTGGCTYAACAGGATGGGAAGAAGTTGAGGCCRATTGAGTATGAGCAAAAARATGTCATCTAAAAAGTAGGCTAARTCCACTTAAGTGAGGGAACTCTATGCCCTATACAAGGCTCTAATCCACTGGAAACACTTAACTGTTGAGTAGATTCTTCTACTCGAGGACTGATCATCAGATTCTAAAGTGGACTAAGAGTCAACCTGTTCTCTCCAATGCCCTCAAACGCTAGAATAAGGTCATAGACAATATGATTTTAAGCTAGAGTAATTGAAAGGGGAGGATAACAAGTTGCTGATGCGCTGTCACGTAGGGCACTAGTTTATGAAATTGGCATATCTCACGCGCTAACTCAATCAATGGTCGAAGCCTACCAGAAAGACCATCTCCTTGTGGATGGGTTATGCTTTCTGGAGAAGGCAGGGAATAAGAGATTAGTTGGTCCATCTCGGGACGTCTTGGATGTAGTGGGGAATGATTTGGATGATCCATCCTACATTATCCGTATCCCTTATCGCCTGTGCACTACCCAGTTTTTCACGCCTCAAAGCTTGCACCTTTCACTGAGACACGTCAATTTCCTTCAGGTAGATCAATGCTGCCCCCAATCATGAATGACCACGTGGACGTCGACGACATTCTGGGGCACAGAGATATGCCTGTTCCAAGACCTCTGGGCAGAGGGAGACCTCCAAAACCCGGATGACAACATTGGGTCATATTCAGGCATCATACGGATCCAAAAGAAGACCGGTGGTTTACCAGAGACACAGCTCCTCAGGTGGTGTCAGAATATGAGAGGATGCTGAAAGGGAAGGCACCTGCGAAGTAAGCATCTCAGCGGACTTTCGAAGCTAAGGGGGATGGAATGTGAGGATTGAGCCCTCAAGAAGGGGCCTTGCCGTGATGTACAGATGTACATGTTCTGGGCTAAGGCCCCCAGCAAGCCTCGTGCCCGCCCTAAGTGAAGGCGGGCCAGCAAATCAACAAGAGCCCTCTGAGCAAACATTTCACGAAGTGGGGTCCATACAGTTCCAGCACGCCAGTTGGTTGGAGTGCACCGAGTTTCGGATTTCTGCAAATACAGAAATCCCAGGGCCTTTGCAGTTGGTTAGGCCCTCGACACATAAATGTGAGGCCGACATTGCATACTGGAAATAGAGCCCGAAAATGCCAATGGGAAATCGGTCCACTACCTGAATCTGGGCGCAGGCCTGGATGAAAGAGGCACAACTGTACTGCGCGGGCCCCAACTGCATTGGGCCTGGGTACAGGTACTAGGGCCCAGGCGCAGGCTCAAGGGAGGCCGCCCACACGCAACACTGGCATATAGGCAAGCAGGGCGAGTGGGCAAGGATCTTGGCCATTGCGGGCAATGTCGGCACTGCGCTAATGCGAGCTGCTGCGCTGCTCTAGGATGAGAACACGCAGGCGCTAGGCGGTAGGGCGCTGCCTGTGCACAGGGCGCTGGCGGCCATAGCCGGGCTGCCTAAGGGCGCAGGGGAGGTGAGGGCGAAGGTGGTTCTTCGGAGCTGAAGGGCGCTGTGTTTTTTGCCTTGAAAATTTATAGGCATGTACCTCACGTCATAGAGAACTTACAAAAAAAAATTTAGGCCCCGAAATAATTTTTGGCGGGGGCTGAACGCCGTCGGGTTCGGACCCTGTACAGGACCCCGAACGCCCGAACGTACGGAGGTCCGCCCGGGGGCCTCCGTACGTACGGGCTGTTAACCTTGATAATGATAATAATAATAACAATAATAATAATAATCAGGGTTACCGGCGTTCGGGACGAGCCGAACGCCCGAACGTACGGGACCCCTTCGGGAGGCGTTCGGCCGCTCGGGCCGAACGCGGACCAAAAAAAAAAAAATAAAAAAAAAATAAACAAAGTTTTCAAAAAACTCCGAAAAAAAACTATGTTATGGAGACAAATAAACTAAACAACATTTGCCTGGGTACTACATCCAAATTCTTTACGAAATTTAAATTAAAAATCCAATACAGAAAATAAACACTATGATAAAAATAAGAAAAAATAAAAAGAGAATTAAAATGAGTGAGTTCGCCAGCACCTTTTCGACACCGCCATCTTTGCCGATTTTTAATTATTTTTTGGCACTGACAAATGCCCTGAAAATTTACAGATATCTAGTTTACATAATCAATAACTCATTAAAATTGTTTCAAAAAATAATAAAATTGTTTAGGACCCGAAATAAAGTGGACACAAAAAGTAAAAAGTGAAAAAAAACAAAATAGTGAGTGGGCGATTACGTTTTGACACCCCCATCTTCTTCGTCTGTGTATGGTAGGGGCTGGCGTAGTCTTCCTGTGTGAAGCGCCAGGCCCCATTCACACCATGTAACGATGATGGTGATGTATGTTCAGGGCTGCATTGCAATATTGATTGTTCGGATCACTGGCATCTACGTCTTCCGCTGTGTTATCTTGTACTTTGTATTGAGAGGTCGGTTCTTCTTCTGGTCTGCACGTTACAGTATGCAACAGTTTGGTATCGGAGCGGACCTCTCATTCAGAGGACCCGCTCAATCAAGTAGCCAGCTCGTTGACCTAGTGATCACTCATTAGTAACGCATTTCGTTTAACCTGAAAATTTCTAATATTAATAGCTCCTTTTTTTTTACGATACAAATATCTGAATTTTTCTGATAAATCGCATTTCGTTTTGTCTGAAAATTCCATATAGTAGCTTTTCGTTTCTCTGATATTTCGCATACATAGCTGAAATTTCTGGAGTTAGTATTTCGTTCTCTAGGCATATTGGGATAACGATAGAAGTGGTCATATTCTCGAAAACTGGAATTATTCATTTATGAAAATCGAATTTCCATTCTATCTCGCAATTTTTTTTTGAAAACCAAAATCCGCTGAATTTTTTTTGACTACCAATATTGCGTTAGGAATATTCGGAGGTTGCTATATTCTCAGAAACCGAATTTCGTTCTTTTTTGAAAATCGCATCTTTACTCCATTTCGCAAAATTTTTTTTTTCCAAGATCGCAGTTTGTAAAAGCGAAACCTTCCGGAACCTAGCCTAGATCTCGTTCATAGTACTCTTCTGACATGTCCTACTCAGAATTGATCGACAGATATACAAAAAAAAAAAAGAAGAAAAAAGAAAGTAGTCCTCTTTTATGTTTTTATTTTATTTTATCTATTGATTAGGGCCGGAGGAAAGTATTGTTGGGTTTTTGCCTACCTACGTTTTCCTCCCACCCACCCTTTGCATGCAATTCCGGGTTGGTACAGTGACACGTCAACAGTGACACGTCAACAGTGACACGTCAACAGTGCCACGTCAGACACAGTGACACGTCAGCTACAGTGACACGTCAATAGTGCCACATCAGACACAGTGACACGTCAGCTACAGTGACACGTCAGCTACAGTGACACGTCAACAGTGTCACATCAGACACAGTGACACGTCAGCTACAGTGACACGTCAGCAGTGCCACGTCAGACACAGTGACACGTCAGACACAGTGACACGTCAGCAGTGCCACGTCAGACACAGTGACACGTCAGCAGTGCCACGTAAGACACAGTGACACGTCAGACACAGTGACACGTCAGCAGTGCCACGTCAGACACAGTGACACGTCAACTACAGTGACACGTCAGCAGTGCCATGTCAAACATAGTGCCACGTCAGCAGTGCCACGTCAGTAACATGACGGGCCTGCTAGGCCAACTGGCCAAGAGCCCATTGACGACTACAAAAAGTGCTTCCAGGCTCAACTTGCTGCAATCGACGCTGAGGAACAACGCCAGCTGGCAGTCAAGGCTGCCCAGCTACAGGCTGAAGAAGCAGCAACAGCAGAGAAGCTGCGGCTACAGGCCGAAGCAGACGCAGATGCCCAGGCTCGTCGCAAGGAAGCCCCAAGATCTGCTGCTGCGGCATGAAGCCAACAACATCAAGAGACTCAAGTTCTGGCACTGAACCGAACGGCGACGGGGCAACACCGGAAGAGCAGCATAAGGAGTTCATGGCCAAGCTCGTGACCAGGTTGGTTTATACTTGTAACCACCTACAGTCCGAGCTGGCGAACCTCCAGCGGGCCGGGCGGAACCATAAGACTCAGCACGAGGATGGCACACGGGCACTGGACGCCCGTGAATTGGACCTGGAACAGGCTGTACCAGAACCAGATGCTGGGGCTTCCTGCAGTGCACCCTCTAGCCGCCAACTGGAGGAACGAGTTGACCACGTAGTGGCAATGCTAGGAGACTTAAGTGCCTTCGCAGAGCCGGCCACCATCAGCCAGCGGTTTCAGTTGCTGGACACGAAGATCAGTAAGCAACAGCAGACTAACCACAGCCACAACAACAGCTCGGCGAGGCCATACAAGATGCCGACGTTCCGGATCGAGAAATTTGATGACTACACACATCAAGACGCGGTCGTCTGGTTGCAAGGATTTACAACGGAGTTGGGGATTCACAAGGTCCCTGACCATCTGTTCATCAGTGCTCTGTTCATCAACACCAAGGGAGGATGTCAGATCTGGCTCAGCCACATGGCAACCATCCACGGAGTCCAAGTTTCAGACCTGTACAAGGTCTCCTAGGAGGACATGACAAAGGAATGGAAGAAGCGGTTCATCGTCGACGATGCCCCGACACTCGCCATCAACCGCATCTTCACGATGGCTCAAGGGAGCACACCGACACGTGATTGGCTCACGGATTGGCAGAAGATCGTGGCAACGCCCGATTTGGACTTGCCATTTCCGCATCTGCGCCGTGAGTTCTACAACAGGTCATGCGCCGCTCTCAGCCTCGCACTTGGTGATCGCAAGCAGTACAGCACTTTCGCAGAGATCATCAACAAGGCGAGGGAGATCATCAAGACCAACAGGGCAGCTGCACACGAGAAGTCGACGTGGCAGCCAACCTATGTGGAGAAGGTAAGAACTGGTCCGCAACAGCAGCAGTTCGCTGCAGTCCAATCGAACAGTGGAGAAGACCCAGCAGCCACTTCAGCATCACGTGAGGGAGATCAGGTGGCTGCTGTCTAGCCGCGAAGCAACAACAAGTCCCGAAACAATGGGAAGGCGAAACCAGCATCGCAGGCCGAAAATAGACACCCAGCACCACCATGGGTCAAGTTCGGCTTGACCAAGCCCGAGTACAAGTACCGCGGCCGTTACGGCTGCTGCTACTGGTGCAACAACACCAAGCACAAGACCTCTCTTTGCCACGATCAGGCCAAGGAGGATGTGCGGCCTGGGCTCAACTCGGGAAACTGAGTTTCGCGGGAGGTGAGGCGACTCCCCCCACTCCGCCAGATTCGGCCGCCTTGCTAGCGGCCTCCTACACATCTGGGGAGGATGCGAATGTCGCAAGTCCTCGGTCCACTTACGAGGATTATGCTGTCCACTTGGTTCCACCGATGGACCAACCGCTACACGTGCAACAATCTACCGCATGCACGGTTTCATCACCATCGGCAACCGATTCGGCAGCTAAGCCGTCATCTACCGCCGGGGATTCAACGTCATGGTCAAGTCTTCAAGAACTCGACCCGTTGACTTTTGAGGACTTCCAATGGATGCCCCTGCCCCGGTCCGGTCGCTTGCCGAAACCGCATTGCAACGTGCTCAAAGCATAATTGCCGGATTACTTGCACAATGCAGTACCGACTCCGTTGATGGACGCCGGAGTCGAGGTTGTCGACCTTCACGCCTACATTGCAAAGATCGACCACGAGTTCAGGACGCAACGGTACGACGACATCGACGCACCATTCTATATCTACGCATTCAGATCGGAGAGGCGACCTGCAGCGCTTTGATTGATTGCGGAGCATCTCGCAACTACATGAGTCAGGACTTCATGGTACGCACCGACCTTGGCCCACGAGTCCGAAGGAAGTCCCAGCCCACGCAAGTCACGTTGGCGGACGGTCACACGCACAAGTCAATTGTCCGGTGCATTGATGACGTCCCAGTGTACTTTGCCCCTCACGCAAGTGAGGCGGTGTCCTTTGACATTCTGGACACCAAATTCGACATGATCTTGGGCATGTCATGGCTGAGAAGCGAGGACCACCCAGTGAACTTCTACCGCCGCACCGTTCACATTCGTGATCGGAACGGACTACTAGTCCTATGCACGGTAGCTCCTCGCCCTTCAGTCAACTGTCACGTGGTATCCGCCGCAAGCATGCGAGCTTCCATCATCAGAGACGACATCGAGGAGATGGGGATGTGTTTTCTCCACGCCCTCCCGCCCCAAGACGCGTCATCAACGGACTCATCTTCGGATCCACGCATATTCGAGCTTCTCGACGCCTACAGCGACGCGTTCGAAGGCCCGCACGGAGTAGTACAGGATCGACCCATCCGCCACGAGATCATCCTCGAGGACGGGGCCATACCTCCACGCGGTTGCATCTACCGAATGAGCGAGGAAGAGTTAAGTGTGCTTCGGGCACAACTCGACAACCTTCAGGAGAAAGGCTGGATTCGACCTAGCTCATCGCCATACGGTGCTCCTGTTCTCTTCGTCTGGAAGAAGAACAAGGATTTGCGGTTGTGCATCGATTATCGCAAGCTCAACATGCAGACAATCAGAAACGCCGGCCCACTCCCACGCGTCGACGATCTTCTCGAGCAACTGGGCGACGCCAAGTTCTTCTCTAAGATCGATCTCAAGTCGGGATATCACCGACTCGAGATCCGGCAGGAGGATCACTACAAGACCACGTTTAAGACGCGATATGGGCATTTCGAATGGCTGGTCATGCCATTTGGCCTTACGAATGCCTCGGCCACTTTCCAAGCTGCTATGACAACGGAGTTTTGACACATGCTGGATCGATACGTACTTATCTACCTCGACGACATCCTGGTGTACAGCCGGAGTTTGGAGGAGCATGTGGAACACCTGCGCACCGTTTTGGAGCGGCTACGACAAGCCAAGTACAAAGCCAACMGCGACAAGTGCGAATTTGCGCGGCAGGAGCTGGAGTACTTGGGACATTATGCGACGCCGCAAGGCATCCGTCCGCTTGCGGACAAGATCGAGGCCCTACGAGTACGGCCCGAGCCCACCAACACCGCGGACGTTCATTCATTCATGGGATTGGCGGGCTACTATCAGCGTTTCATCACCGGATATTCCATGATTGCTGCACCTATGACGAGCTTACAGTTGCCAAAGGTGCCATTCGTATTCGATGACGACGCACGYCGGTCATTCCAAGCACTTAAGACGGCTATGCGTATGGCACCCGTCCTTAGCATCTATGACCCCACACTGCCGACGAGAGTGACTACGGACGCTTCTGGCTATGGCATTGGGGCAGTCTTGGAATAGCACGACGGCGACGACTGGCACCCTGTGGAGTATTTCATCCACAAAGTGCCTACCATCAACTCGCTTGATGATGCAAGGAAGAAGGAGCTGCTCGCATTCGTCATGGCTCTCAAGCGATGGCAGCACTTCCTCCTTGGGCGTCGTAGGTTCACATGGGTTACGGACAACAATCCATTGACCTACTACAAGACGCAGGATACGGTGAGCAGCACGATCGGACGATGGATGTTCTTCATCGACCAGTTTGACTTCACACCGAAACATCTACCCGGCCTCTCAAATCGCGCAGTAGATGCACTCTCGCGAAGACCAGATCTTTGCGCTATGACACATCATGCCTTCGCATTCGACGAGGAGCTTCAGCGACACTTCATCCGGGCACATGAGTCTGATCCGAACTTCGCCACGCTATACGCACAACTATCTTTGGATCACCCGCCGTCCAGCCACTATCGCATTGCCGACGGATACTTGCTCCTCCACTCGAGAGGCAAGGACTTATTGTGTGTCCCACGCGACCGTCGTCTTCGGACTCGCCTTCTCGGGGAGTACCACGACTCGCGACTCGCCGGCCATTTCGGAGTTAACCGCACTATTGCACGGCTTCGACGGCGATTCCGATGACCCGATCTCATTACCGATGTCACTTGGTATTGCGACTCTTGCGAAGTTTGCCGACGCAGCAAGCCCCGCAACCGCAATCCCTACGGCGAGTTACGCCCGATGCCTATCCCACGGGAACCTGGTCTCTCCATTGCCATGGACGTCACCGGTCCGTTTCCCCGCGACCAGCTCGGGCACGACGGCATCCTCACGGTGGTGGACCGATTGAGTAAGTATGCGCGTTTTCTTCCTTGCAAGTACTACTCCTCGGCTCCCGCGCTGGCACGCCTCTTGCACACCGGCTGGATTTGCGGCCATGGTGTACTGGAAGATAGCGACCGCGACACTCGCTTCATGTCGGCATTTTGGACTGCACTCATGCAGGAGTCCGGCACGAAGATGAAGCCAAGTTCGGCTCGGCATCCACAGACAGACGGGCAGACGGAGCGGGCACATCAGACCGCTCAAATGATGCTTCGTACGCTCATCCGTCCGGACCAGAAAGATTGGGTTGACCGCCTCCCCGACATCGAGTTCGCCTACAACACTTCGGTGCATCCGGCGATCGACGTGACTCCATTCGAGTTGCACCACGGTGGACGGAAAGGCCGGATCTTCGGCGACCTTCTCCTCCCTCAACCAGCCGATATTGACGCTGCCTGCTCTCCCGCTTGCGTCCGAAAGTACAGGGAATTGCTGACTCAAGCCCGCGCGAACATGCAAAAGGCTCAAGTCCGCATGCAACAGCAAGCCAACAGGCATCTCGTACCATGTCCCATCCGCGCCGGTGATCTGGTTTGGGTCTCCGCGGAAGAGTTTGCACTGGAACAGGATGTTTCACGCAAATTGCTTCCCAAGTGGTTTGGACCTTGGTCTGTGACAGCAGTCGCGGACGATGAGCCTGATGGCCCTTCATTTGTGATCAACATTCCCGAGCATCTGACGATCCATCCAGTCTTTCACGCCTCGAAGTTGGCAACATATACACCAGCTAAGAGCGACAACTTCCCGGGCCGACAATCGCAGGACCCTCCTTCTATGGATGGTCATCAGGAAGTTGACCGCGTCATCACGGATCGCAAGTACGGCAGCAAGCCGCGCCAGTACAAAGTTMCATTCMGAGCATGCGATCCCGACGACACTCGGTGGATTTCAGGAGAAGATTTGAAAGCATCCGCACCGCTGATCTACGCGCACTACGAGCGACAAAGGTTAGCTAAGGGACCTCCACGACCTGCCCCTCCCACCCGGACTGTGGTCCCTCCCTCAGACTGACAGCTTCGCCCTCGCAGGTAAGCTCGGTCTTTCAAGGAGGGGGGGGGKGTGGCATACTGCGTAGCCACACGGGCCCTGCAGGGCCTGTCCCGCACTTTCAGCCTAAAAGCCTAAAACTTAGGGCTAACAGGCCCCCGTCGTTCAGCCTAAAAACTGAAATACGAGGGCCTGCAGGCCCTACTCCGTTTCAGCCTATTTCTGGGCCTTTCAGGCCCAGAGTTTTTCCAGCCTGAAACGGAGGGCCTTTTTCAGGCCCTCATTGTTTCGACCACCAGTAAGACTCAGGCATGAATACAGAGTTTCGTAACAGGCCAGAAATAGCCTGTTCCTCACGGGCTTGAGCAGGAGCTGCAGCTGCAGCCCCTGCCTGCCTTCGGCATTGGCAAGAGCAGCCTCCTGGACTCCTCGCACGAGTCAGGAGGCACACCCGGTAGTACATAGGAAGTTCCGATGCACTTCACGGGTACGTAGTTGTCAGTACGCACGAGTAGTCTTCAGGATTCGGCCGCAGCACTCAGGAGGAGCGCTGCAGTAGTCTTCAACGCTAGGCAGTAGGATAGCGCTAGCAGTAGTCTTCGGCGCTGGGCGCCCATAGCCATAGTTGTAGTCTTCAGCGCTGGGCGCTATTAGGTGGTAGATCGTGGAGTTGGGAGAAATGGCTGGCGGAGGCCAGCGGTTGTGACTTGAGACTTGACGACATTGGATCCAGACTTGACATTTGGGATTCAAACATTTCGACGAGGGACTATTTGGGCCTGTGTCGAGACTTGGTGTTGACGACATTCCCATCTTCCCCCTCCTCTTCGTCTAACCCCTTCTTCTTCGTCTGTGTATGGTAGGGGTTGGCGCAGTCTTCCTGTGTGAAGCGCCAGACCCCATTCACACCATGTAACGATGATGATGATGGATGTTCAGGGCTGCATTGCAATATTGATTGTTCGGATCACTGGCATCTAAGTCTTCCGCTGTGTTATCTTGTACTTTGTATTGAGAGGTCGGTTTTTGTTCCGATCTGCACGTTACAGTATGCAACATACTGCCTAAAAGTCAATCGGTGAATGAAGAGTTACACACAGAAGAAGACGAGGGTCTCTAATACACGTCACTTGCTACAGCTCGTAACCGACACGAGTATCTTCTTTACTTCGTCTGTAGTACTGCAACTTACACCCGGAGAGGGGGGGGTGGGGGTGGGAGGCGGTGGCGTCACCAGACACGTTCCTCAAGTCGGAGCTCTCCGGGGGGGGGGGTGACGTCAGCAGATGCGTACCTCGTGTCGGAGCTCTCCGACTAATCATGCCAAGAGAAGAGGAATGAAGCACATCGACCTCTTCGGCCCCTCGTGCACCCTCCGCCGAAAATCCGGTCCAACACCCATATTGCATACTTCCCTGGGCTAACGCCGCGTTGCTCATATCTAGTCCTCATTGTTCTTCGGTAGATCCAGAGCTCACTACTGATTCCCTCTGAACACAGGTGACGTCAACCATACAAAGCGCGCGGGTCACTCTCCTCTGCTCACTTTGAAACTTTGTTGCGACAACTTCCCTCGTTTGCTGATGTTCCGCCCATGCGTGTAGGCTCCCCTCAATCATCGGAGAGATAAGATATGAGTCTACATTAGGCACAGGACACATGCCCCAAGTGAGCACCGTTAAACAAACAAGGTGAGCAAACCCTCTCTCTCTAACATCTCTGGCGCCCACTGATTTCCCCCTTTTTTTCTTGATCATGGTAGCGTGCGCAGTATGTATCCACCTAAAGGTCTCGTTTCTCCTGCCTCTAGCTTCTCCCCATTCTCTCGCACATAAAGTGATTAGTACGGCATGCTGCCTATCACACACGAACTTCACAAGGCACACACGCCGATTCTCTCACGTCTGCTCACTCTGAGAACCAATGGTGGCAACAACAAAAACTCGTAAGCGGGAGCGTTTATTCTGATCATGACGAAAACATGCCTGGGATGATCGACTTCACGTGGCTGAAGTCACTGGTAAGTGGCGTTTGTCACCAACCGGAGAGCGTGATCCCTCTTTCTCTCTCGATCCCTCTCGTAATCATCCCCCACGCCCGTGATGGCATCCCCCGAGGGCAGTGTTCGTAGCCTAAGCATACCTTCAGTACCCGCCTACTTGAACCACTTTCTCTCTCTCGTTCTTGCTCGCGACTGTCGCGTGCGCAACCGTCACTAATCCCACGGCCTCAATCTCGTCGCCGTTGCGAACTGGCCTCTCGGCCGTCTTCCACGGGCCCAGCAGGCGGGTGGTCCTGCTGCCACTGCTCCAATGGGTCTCTGCCCCACTGACCCCCGACTCGGCCTCAGAGTCCCGATCCAGATGCGCCTGCTCACGTTCGGTAATCCCAATGGAGGTCCTGATCTCATGATACGAGATCGTTACATGGACCTCCGTTGTGACTCCATCCCTCCTACATCTTCACTTTGTTCGGTTCTTGGCTTTTGTGACAACCGCTTGCAACTTTGGGTCTCCTCTCATCTCTTCCTCTCTCGCTCCTTCCACGTTAATCTTTAGCTTGACCTCATCTCCACCATCGTAGTTTGGGATAGTACTCCAGGGGCCCTCTCCCAACATCGGGGACCAATGCGTTATGAGCCTCCAGCAATCCGGCCTATAGATGTGCCACCCATTGCGGTAGGCCATAGCTGCACACTCTCAGAATAGTCGAAGTTTTGCACCAGGCGCACGCGCACACAGATAGAGCCCCGCTTGAATACCTTACCACTCCGCTCTACTATCTCTGATTGCTAGAATTAGCGCTGAAGTTCCCAATGTACACCCACTGGCCAGTAGCAAGTAATGCATCAACTACCACTTTTATAAGTCTAATATGGACCGCGATCCCTGCGTACTAAGCCGGGTACACATGTAATCTTCTAAGTTTCGCTCATTACTAAACCAGAATAAAGTCTTGCCTCAACGATCATGTCCCCGAGCGTGAAATGACTACCGGGCCAGACCAACTTTTTCCTTCCCTCAAAAAGAACCTTAAGATTATTCCCAACGGGTACCCGTGTCTGATGGCAAGGAGGGGGCTTATAACCTTCCATGGGAGGTGATAATCCTCCTACCAACGCGGTCGCGGGTTGCCCCTCGTTTGGGATCCTACTAAGGAGGGGGCTTATAACCTTCCAGGACTGCATCAAAAACAGCGAACCGCGAAGGGACAACCCAATCCAGGTCGCTAATCGAAAGTCATGGTTCAAATTTGAAACGTTAATCCTCCCCCGCGAGGTGACAAAAAAAAAATTAAATAAGAGAAATAGATAATAATAATAATAGTAATAATAACAAACAGAAGGAAACAACGCTTCAAAATTATCTTGCGCCGCGACGTTACTAAGGTCATTTGACCCCGAGGCAATAAAAAAACGATCTATATCTAGGCAGGGATCCATGGCTCAACGCTCAACTGTGTCCCCGGGGGAGCCCGGTGGCTACCACGGCCACATGTCGGTAGTGCTCTACTGTACAGCAGGGCGTTGAGCCTACGTGGACCAATGGAAAGTCCAGTGGCGCACCCCCTTCTTTTGCCAGGGCAAGCGCCCGCTGGACCGGTCCACAACAGTGTACAACCAGTGTACGCCTGGTACGTCGCAGAGACCCACAGGTAAGGAGTTTGGCAAACCACGGAGTTTCTTGAGTCAGAGACTCGTACACAGTAGAGGTCCCGGAGCAGGAGACAGATACGAAGCGGAGGGCCAAGACACTGAGCCCACCGACATGATACCAACCCCCCACCCAGCATCCCCGTTGGGCCCAAGACAAAGCACACAAATAATAAAAAACAGTGACAGCCAGGAGCTCATTTGTTTATTACTACAACAATCCCTAGTGGGGCTCTTATCGCAATTTTGAGCTAGTTGTTAGTTCACGTTTACCGCTGCGTACAACGCACTTTTTCTTATTCCGTTGTGCCACCGTAGTTGCATGCCTCTTTTCCTTTCGACTCTTCTTGCACCATGCCTGAGGCGCGTCGAGGATAGGGAAGAGGAAGGGGTAGAAGAGGGGGTTAAGTCTCGTGAAGAGCCACCAGCCCTCGCACGGCGCGAGTACAGTTCAGAGGACGAGGAAGACGAGCGGTGTTATGAGGCTCACCCACGGCCATACCTGCGTCAGCCTTTTGCCATCTAGTATGAAAAATCTCCATCCCCAACGAGGATGGAGTACTACCAAAAGAAGTTTGACACACGTTATCGCGCCCCAAGCTCCCCTCCTTATTCCCCCAGCGCCCCAATTACTCCCTCAGCGAGTAAGGCCCTAATACCAATATCGCCTCCCTCCATTACTTGCGCAGCGCCCCCTCAATCTTGTCTTAGTAGTTCTATTCTTTTTTGCATTTTCTTTTTCCTTCCTTTACTCCAAGCTGAGTTCATGGCTATCTTCTACATCTTGTATACTCACGAGATCCTTCCCTGAATTCTCTGAACTTTCTTTCCTTAACCTTCTGTTTCTTTTCACACTTCATGGTGTCCCGGACTTAAGTGTTTGAATACCTTGAGGCAGGGGATGCAGGTTCCTCGCGAACCAGACCGCTCTATCGGCCACCAAACAAAATTTAAGAAGGATCATACATCAGTTTTGTCATCTGCAACGTGGTCTTGAAATCTGGCTTTCCGTGAACTTTTACATCGAAGAAGTTCCCTAATCTTTCATCTTCGACCGTGATTTTAAGGATATTACCCATCTTACTTTAGTGTTATGGACACTCGTTGTCATCAGTATCGAGGGTAAGGCATACCAAACCTTTTTTCTGTTCTCTGGCCCGAGTGAGACGTCTTCTCAACTTCTCAGGCAATCGAAGGGGATACTGAACCCCGTTCTCTTTCTCTGATCTGAGTGATGTGTGTCGTCAACTTCTCAGACAAAAAAAAAGGGGATACCAAACCTCTTTATTTTCCTCTGGTTTGGGAACTTTTGATGAACCTGCATGAGCCCGCAAAACAACAAGTTCCACACACCACCAAGCATGATCCCAGCATGCAAATTCCCTGACAAGCAATGGCCAACCAACAATTATGTAAAATAAGTAAAATAAAAAACCCATAATAAAA